CCTCCCCATCACAATAGCAGCCCAGACACATCACACTCACCTCTGCTATTGCTTTCAGGGAATCAACATCATAAAGAGATCAAAGAGCATGTAAGAGCACAGTTAGAAGGCCATGACCACATTGAGTGGCGGAGGCTCATCCAACACACCTGATTCCTATAAGCTACATGGCATTCTCCATATTCACCCTTCCTGCTACCTGCACAGCAACCAAGCGTCAGCCATCTCTGGCCATGCAGCAGTAACTCAGTCCACACTAGGAAATTAATTTATGTCAGCACAGAAACCCCAGAGTACACCATACCTTGTTTTCTCTCAGGTACTATTTCCCACACAGTAAAGTGCCAAATGAAGAGTGAGTTCCCATTTGTATCAGTCAGTGACTGCAAAACCCAATGATGTCTTGCATGTGTGGAAAGACTATTATGGAACATCTGCTTTTACTTTAGACTCAATAGAAGCAGTTCACATGTTCAGCTGTGATGTTATTGAGTAATATAGTTGCCTGTGTGAATAAGCCTTAAGAGTACATGAAGTTTATATGTGGGCATATTCCACATTTCTACAGAGCGTTGAACTACATTCAAAGTTGAATCAGAATGACGGTATTTTTATTCTAATGGGAACCAAACTTGAACCATAATTGGAATCGTCTTATTGAACCTGAACTGGAGCTAAGACAAAAAAAAAAGTTTTTGGATCACTAGTTAAGAGAAGTTCAGCATCTTTTTTTTCAAATTAAATATGAAAAATGTTACTAAAATCAAGGATAATGTTGTTTTCATTATAAAACATGACTACAAATAACTAATAGACCTCAGAGTGCTCCCAGAGGTCTGCCCCACTATAATGAGAATTGAAAGAGATTAACCCACTAGAGTAAAGATGGGGAGGAGGAAGCGAAACTGGCGCAAGATGTACACCATATGTGATAGCATGCCTCAGGCACTCTCCCCAACAACACCACAACACTGAGAAAGAGGTGTAATGCCGTCTGATTCCAGAAAGATAGTGGCTCACCAGTTTTACTATACAAACCATTTCCTGTACACACAGCTTAGTTCAGGTATCATCTATCCCCAAATACTTTGCTAGCAAATCAAGAGGCCAAAACCACTGCTTCCCACTCCCACTCCCACACCTTCCCAGCAGCAGCTCTCCTTAACTGCTCCCTAACAGTACATTCAATTCTGATTATTACTATTATATTTTGCTTCACGGGAAGAATGTTGGTTTGAAAAAGTTTGCGCAAGTAAACAAATTGACAGTATTTCCCCCTGGTTTATTTAGTCAAAACCTGGACCCAAACCCTATAAAATGCACCTGAAACTAAAGTTTGAAAGGGCAAATACAAATGCTAGTTTGGCTGTTTCAGCTTCCAGGTTTATGACCCAATCCTATGGCTCTTGTAACGCCCAACCAAGCACAATAAATTGGACATAACTACCTAAGGCCACACCAACCTTAGCACAACTGATATCAGATGCAGGATAGGACACAATTATCATTGCACTAGCACTTTTGCTTGTGCCACAGTGCTGGTGGAACTGGCTGAGCCACAACGCTGCATCAGCACAGATATTACTGAGCCAACATTGTTCTCCTCTGTCAGATATAATACAGCAAGTGTAGAAAAGTAGCACAATCAGGAGCAGGCCACACAGTTGCACCAATAGGAACCAGGTTGGGTCATGTTCTATCCTAAGGAGGCCTCTAACTACTCTGAACTGATCTACATTTGCATGTCCAGCCTACATAATTTAAGTGGGATAATAAGCATAATGGAATTGCAACTGACAGTCAAGTTCAATGGACCTGACATAAGAAGTCACTCATTGTAAGCCACACAATATGCTACTAGAAGAACAATTGTTTTGATTACGTCATGGGGTGCAATCTGACACTTACAACCATACTTTCAATTATTCTTCGCTTTCCCCCTGTAACCCCCTACACACCACCAAGAACTGTTCCAGGTAGTCCCCCAACCCTCGGAGCAAAATTTGAGAGTGCATAGAAGCAGGGATGCCAACTGGAATAAATATATGGGGGGGCAGGTGAGTCCCACCCTGCATATTGATTACAATAGGTGGTGTACACACACCATCTGAACGTCAATGCCCATCAACTTTGGGGGTGGTGCCCCCGAAAATATTTTATTGGGGGAGGGGCAAAGGGACCTCAGCCCCTCGGAGTTGGCTCCTATGGTTACAGTGACTGCTGTGGCTGGAGAGGATGTTTTGTTGCAGCTGGGGCAGATGTGCTGCTGCAGGCGGACCATGGTGTTTATTCTTTCTGTGCGCCTCCCAGCGATCATTCCTCCCCGGGTCACTGCTGTGAATACACAACCAGACTGATTGCCTCCAGTTGTTGTGGTTGTCTACAATGTATTCCCACACAGTAGACTTCAAGTTGACAGACTTTGTGTCATGTTTGGGCCTGGTGTCTGAAGCCAGTAGACTCCTTTGAAAGCAACTGAAATGAAAGTAGACTCTGTTGAAATCAATTATATTTACTTGCATGTAAATATATTTAGCACTGGAGTGTTAAGAGTCTTGACTCACCTCTCAGGCCTTTGATTCACCCACCTGACCCATCTACCAATACAAAGACTAGGGTATAGGAATTAATGTCTTAATAGACAACAAAAATTGGAATGTTGGTACAGTGGTGCCTCGCAAGACGAAATTAATCCGTTCCGCGAGAGTCTTCGTCTAGCGGTTTTTTCGTCTTGCGAAGCAAGCCCATTGACGGATTAGCGCTATTAGCGCTATTAGCGGTTTAGCGGCTATTAAAGGCTTAAAGGCTTAGGGGATTAGCTGCTAAAAGGCTATTAAAGGCTATTAAAGGCTTAGCAGATTAGATAAAGGGGGGGGAAAGCGAAAAAAAATCTCAAGACTCGCAAGGTATTTTCGTCTTGCGAAGCAAGCCCATAGGGGAATTCGTCCTGCGAAGCAACTTCAAAACGGAAAACCCTTTCGTCTAGCGGTTTTTCCGTCTTGCGAGGCATTCGTCTTGCGGGGCACCACTGTAGTTTTATTTGCAGCAAAAAAAAAAGTTTGTCCAGAACTCTCCAACTCTGTTTGGTGCTGAGGTTCAGCTTTGGAGCATGTTAAATAACAATAAAGAAAATGTCTCTGAAAATATATTGAGTGTAACAATTACTGTCCAGCCTTATATATATATTAACTACTGGGTTTATTCCTACTGACACAAACTAGATGTGCTTTACGCCTTTGGTCCCAAATGTGGTTCTTGTGGGCACGACAGGGTTCTTGAGACTGGTGGCTTGCAAGGACACTGCTATTTTCTTGTGTTTTCTTTTTCTTTTTTCACCATTGGTTGGCTGTCTGGAAAGCAAAATGCCATCCTCTCCTTCCTTTCCCTAGAAGGCCTCTAGCTCTAGGCCCCATGTGGGCATGTTTTACCTGCTTTGTTTGTGGGTGTTGCCTGCTTTTTCTTTCCTTTGGTGGGGAGCTGGTTTGTTTGAGGGTTATTTTTTTAATAGCGCTTGGTTTTGCCTGTTTCAGTTGTGCAGTCTCCTTATTTTGTCTGTGCTTTATTTGTTTTCGGGTGTGTTGGTGTTGCTTAAAGCTGTGATATGTGTTTCTGGGTATTTCGTGGTACTTACATTATAGGTTTACAAATGTAACCCAGGCCCAAAAACAGTTGGGAGTCCCTAATTTGGACTTTTGAGTCAACCTACCTTTCAGAGAGGACAACCTGTCTGGAGTTCATTCCTGGATTCTGTTTCTTACTTATTTTAAAAGGACATGTTGAATTCACTTCTTGATTCTGCAGCTCACTTAGGTTTGGTGCAGCTCCCACGCCTCATAATGTTTAGTATACATTTCAATCCACCTATATGAGGGGCATCTAAACCCTTTTTGCCCTACTGCCTTCTGTCTTGTACACCAGGGCTCCTCTCTTTCTCATTCCTGCATTGGAAATAAGCAGCAATGCTGACAAACCCGCTTTCCATTTTCTCCAAGGTGCAGCAGTAGACACAAGTCTGGCGGGAGGGCAACGGGGTGGGGTGGGAAAGAGAGAGAGAGAAGTGAACGTTTTTTCGTTTGCTACAGTCGGAGCAATCTGACATTGACCCTTCAACGTGACCTTGTCTGGGCCGTCTCCTTAGTAACGGAGACCCAGCGAGAGAAAACCTGCAGATCGCCTCCTTTAGCTACCTTTCTACCGGTCTGATGTCACTATTCCCGGGTGGCAAGGGGTGGGTGGGTGGGGGGCCGTGGAAAAGGAAAGGAATCTTCGAGGAGAGATTAGCTATTTTGCTTCGCGGCGCGGGGAGGAAAAATAAGATTGTGGCGCGGAGGGCACACTCACTACACGTAGCCTTAACTTTTGGCCCGCCTCCTTTACCCGTCTCTGCGCTGATCTGGCAAAAAATCCTTGCAAGCTTAAGACAGAGAGATAAAAAAAAAAAAAAGCGTGCTTGCATCGTTTTGGCGGCTTGGCTCGTATCTAGGGCTAGAGAAGAGCTCTTCAGTGACGTCAAAACCCTATAGGGAGCCCTGGAGATGACAGGGGCTTGGGCGGGAGCGGGGTTTGGGATCGGTACGAAAGGTAGATGCAGCAAAGGGAAAGCAGCAAGAAAAGGGGGGCGCGCGCGCGCGCCAGCTTGTGCTTGGGGGGCGCGCGCGATTTCCTTTCAAGTGCGCGGCATAAGTTCCTTCGAGCCCCAGGCCCTCCGCGAGAGCAGGCAGGGCCCCGTCCGTTCGTCCGGCGACGCGGGACAGGGAGGCCTGCTGCTGCCCGCCAACAGCATCGGGGGAAAGAGGCGAGTGGGAGGCGCCCTCGGCGGGACTCGCCCTCCCGCGCAAGGCCTTCCTGCTTTTGCCGGCAACTCGCTGGCGCCTCCTTAAATCTCTGCCGTTAGAATGTGGGCGGGTGTTTCAAGTCAAAGAGCGCTCAAATGTTTTTCCTTTTCAAAAAAAGCTGATGCGGGGGGGGGGGGTGAGGAAAGAGAGAGAGAGAGAGAGAGAGAGAGAGAGAAGAAGAAGAAAGAAGAAGGAGACCGAGAAGCGGGGAAGCAGAAGCAGCAGCAGGAGGAAGAGCCGGCTTCCCTGGGCTGCGACCGGCGAAGGGTTCCTGCAGAGGGGGCTGCTTGCTTGCAAAGAGCCGGGCGAAGAGTGGCGACCCCGGCAGGCGCTTTTTGCAGGAAGCTGCCTTTGCCTCTCCGCAGCCTTTTCCAGAGCGATGCGAGGCAAAGGCTCCTGTCAAAGAAGCGGCGGCGGCAGCTCCTGACCCGCCGCCCCCCCCGGCACCTCTCTCTCCCTCGCTGCCGCCCGCGGTTGAATGAAGGCGGGGAAACCAGCAGCAAAGCGACGCCAGGGGAGAGGCGCGGGCGCTCCAGAGAAACGGCGGCGACTCCTCTCCCGCGCGCGCCTGTGCACAGGCTAGAGATCGCTGGTGACCGCCGAGCTCCGCCCGAAGCATGCCGCCGCCGCTGCCGGGTCCCCGGAGCCCCGGTCGCCCTTGGTCGGGTGGCGTGGAGCAGGGGGGACTCCTGCGCTTCCAGCAACCTCGGGGAAGGGAGGCAGGGAGGGAGGGCAGCCGATCTGGCAGCTCCGGCTGCGGTTAACTCCTTCGCTGCCGCTGCTTGGAGAAAAGGAAGGTCCTGGGAGCTGGTTTGTGCGACCCCCGCGAGACTACGAGGGGAGGTTCTTCGGTGGAAAGGAGCGCGCGTCGGATCTCGGGCGTCCCCGCTGGAAAGAGCGGTGAGTCCTTTCCTTTTCCCCCCATCTCCGCTTCCCTCCTTCCCTCCCCGCCTCCACCTTGTTCTTCACCTTCTCTGCTTCTCCTCGCACGTTTGGCTTAGCGCGGCCGTGTTTCTCTGGCCGCGTACTACACTGGCTGCAAGGGTACATATCAATTTATTTCCCACTGGCCAAGGTCCTCCAGGAGGGGGGGAGCGTTGTGCGTGTTAGAGGTGCAGAGATCTGCTTTTCAAGCGGAGCTGCAGCAGTGTGCGTCACGTGTGAACCCAAGGGGCGGGCTTTTGGCAAGGAGCTTCTTTACGAGTATTTACTACAAGGTCTACTCCAGAAGATTAACATCCCCACTCCTTCTGTCAGTTTCCGATGCCATGCCCGGCTAAAAAGAGCGATAGTAATAATAATAATAACAATAAAAATTGCAAGCGCAAGTCATCTGCTCGCTGCCGATCGTCCGCAAGGAATGGCCGAACCTTTTGCGAATGAGTTGGCGTCCGCAGCTGCCAGAGGGGACCTAGCGCAACTTAAAAATTTGTTGGAAAATAATGTAAACGTCAATGCACAAAATGGATTTGGGAGGACTGCGCTGCAGGTTGGTATCCAGACGGACAGAGGCAATCTTTCGCCACTAGGTGAACTGGTTTGACGGGGACGCGAACCGTTTTTAAGAGGGGAGGAAAAAAAAAACACCCAGCATTTTTTAAAAAGCGAGTTGGTTGCCATATTTTATAACTTTAGCGGTTCCAACTCCCTAAAGTGACGTACTTTAAGTAAAACTGGTCAGTAATGCTTTTAAAAAAATATCTGTAGACTAACTCGTCCACACGTTAATTCGATTTTTTTTAAAAAAGAAAAACAACCCTTTTTCTGGGGCAGGGAAGCAAGTGGCGGAGGGGGGAGGGGGAGGGAACGAAACCATCCGGGCTAGGTCGTCTTTCACTGCAGGTCGGTAAACACCTCCTTTCTATTCTTTGAAATCCCGATTATATGTTTAGCTTTCTAAAAGCGGGGGTGCTCTCTTTCTGATGGGAGCGAGGTCAGTTTGGGGCTTCACTCTCCGGCTCTCTTTCTCTCTCTCCCCGCGGTGATCGCTCCCCCCCCCCCCAAGTTTACTATCTGCACTTCATAGCTAAGATGTACATTAAAATAGTTGGGCGATCTGAATCTCTGGAAAGACAGTGCCCTGGATTATTTTTTAAAAGTGTTTTGGTGGGTCGCTACGCGGCGAAGATTTCCTTGCCGTAGGTACCATCCTTGTATACACCCATTTCCACTGTTTAGATTTAGAGACGGCAGCTGGAGCCCTTCCAGTTCCTAAAATCCTGGACCCGCTGAAAGATGTTTTCTTTTAAGAACATCGCATAACGGTGCTGAAAGTGTTACAATGCACGAGGGAAATAAAAGTGGGGGGGGGGGGACAGTCTCGCAAGAGATGTGGAAACGTAGGTGAAAGCCTGCGACTGGGGTTTTTTGGGTGTGTTTTTTTGTGCCAGGCAGAGGATCAAGAGTGCAGTTGGGACTACTGATTAGGCTTCTCAAAGAAAAGGGATTTGTGCTTTAAACTACAAAAAGGTGATCCACATGTCTCATATGTTGGTGGGTGCTAAAAAGAGAGAGAGAGAGAAACAGAAGCCCCCTTTTGTAAGGGAGTTAAAAAATAATAATAACCCTGCCTGTGAGCTATCTCCCCCCCCCCCACTTTACAATTCCTTTCAATAATCCTTAAATTATTTCCTTTTCTGAGAGCAATGACAATGCCCAGAGGTCTTCTAGGCTCTTTTTCTTCTACCGACCTACAAATAGGAAAGCTTCAAGGCCCACAGGGCCGGGAGGTTGTTGAGTAAAGCAGGGTTTGTGTGTGTGTGTGTGTAGGTTTCTGCCTCTAAAATGGATCTCCAATTTCTCTTCTAAGTGCAGAACCAACGAGTTGTTGCAGGAGCAGATCACAACAATTGAATGGCACATTTTGCCATTTTAAAAAATAATTACAGGGGTGTATTTTCTAGGCAGAGATGGATCAGGGAACTCTCTTGGCTGCCCAGTGTATCTTTTCCAACACCCACTTTTTATTGCTCCTTCATCGTAAACAAGGATTTGACGCACACTACCAAATGTGCACACACACAAACGCACACACTCCTCTAGAATAAAAGCTAAACATAGAAGAGGCTGACTGCTTATTTTCAGTATGTATAATCCAGAGAAAACTAGTGGGTGGATGATAGAATTTGAGAAAGTTGATAGTCAACACAGTCCCCAATATTGCTTACTCTATATTTTACCAAAGAAAGTGAAAACACACTTTGGCTTTGGTCCTCTAGCTCATCCAGACAGCATTTCGCTATTATTTTCTCTGACCTTTTCTCCTTCCTCACCGTCTGCATTTTGAATTTGGATGTTTTAAAGCAGGCCTCTCTCTCTTTTAGATTTGGCCAAGCTCTTAGGCCTTTTCTTTCGTATCTGTCCCCTTCCCTTGTCAAAACAATACTACATCAGCAACCTGCACATCTGAAGTGGTATACTAAATGAAACTTGTTCCACATCCTGATCCTGCTTTCCTTACTTACCTCAAATTGCACAAGGTGTAATAAGGCCCTGCTGAGTGAGAGTTTAAAATGTTTCGGGAGTCCCTGTTGTGTTGGAGGTGTTGGGAAGCCACTCACCTTTCTGAGTGTTTTGCAAATACTTAACATTACTATTAATTTCCAGAAGACTTAGCAGTCCTCTTGGCTATTTGCAGCCCAGACCTGCCTGAGAGAAGTCAGATGATATACAGCAAAGCATGCAGGTATCGCCTAGTCAATATTCCACATTGTAGATGCCATTCACACTTACTGCTGTTGTATCGTCTGGCTCTCACTTCCCCACCCACCTCAACAAAGTTTGGACATACTTATTTTTACAGCTCTTTCCAGTTTTGTTTACTGTAAGTGTTCCCCCTTGTTTATGCTAAGAGAGGAAGGCAAAATTCCTTGCAGTAGAAAATTGTATGGAGCAGATAGGCAGACAGACAGATAGCTATTCCTTTCGAGAAGAGTGGGTAGAATAGAGCTGGGGGTGGGGGGGGTGGAATTGAAAGCAAATAAGGAACACATCATGCTTCAAAACTGGCTGTTCCAAAAAGAAAAGAACTTGACCGAAACATAACCTTCAATGTGTGATATTACAAAAGAACTGACTGCAATTTTCCCCCAAGTCATTATGAAGATTCAGAATGCCTGAGGGTCTCTCTGAACTAGGCAGACCTGTTCCTGTGCTGAAAAATATTATGCAGGTTCCATATTGCAATTTTTAAAATTATTTATTTTAAAATGGCAATATCAGACTACCTTTGCCTTAGCAGGAAGCAGTATGAAAGATGCTGAATCATCAGAGCCATCCTTCTAGTGGCAGTTGGAGTGCTTTCACAAAAAGTAAAAAAAAAGGGGGGGAAGGACCTTTAGGGAAGCCAACAACCTTTGAAAACTTTTCCATTCAAACAAAGCCTAAGAATTTGAGGAATATGTTTGTCCCTCTCCAATTATTAGAGGAAACCAGGATGTGTGTTCATTTGCATTCTTGTGATTATAGAGATACCAAATGAAACTAAGATTGTGATCTTCTTATGCACTTTTACTTGAAATTAAGGCTAACTGAATTCAGTAGAAGACTCTTCTGAGTAAAGACATTCATGAGGGTGCACTGTCAACAGGTGTGGCACACCTGCTGTTCTCAATTATTCATGTGTCATCTTTTTAAAAAATAAGCAAACCTTTTAGTCTAAAATATGGACCTAACAGGGTTGTGTTGTAGCTCACTGCCAAGGCAGGAGCAGAAGAACTCTGTTCCTAGTACTATTCCAGCCCTCTCATCTCATCATTGGAAGTGACTTTCACCTTTACTGAAGTTTTCTCCTTTCCCTGGCTCAGTCTGACAGAGTTTGCTTTTGGGTCTGACTCCGTTTTTTTATTTCCGTGTGTCATGGTCGTCCCCCGCACTCCCCCCCCCCAAGAAACACATCTAAAGTAAATGCCCCAAAGCTTGCATTTCTACCAACAAGTCAGTGCAGTTCAATGTATTATCTCAACCTGCTTATGTGCCTTTGACTTCTGATATCATCTGTTCTGATATGACTAAATCGCTCTTGAAGGTTAACAAGGGGGTGGGTGGGAAGAGTGGGATTATTGAATGCTTAAGTGACTCCCGACCATGGTGGGATGTTTTGGGGTTGTTGTTTTTTAATTACAATAAACCAACTGCTAAACAGACACTTTGTCCGCCCCACCCCATGATGAGGACGAAATATCAAGATGGGAAACAGTTTTATCTCAAGACCTCGTTATTTCACTCGAGGAAACGCGCCTAGGGTACAAAACCCCTTGGGTTTCAATGGGACCTGCTCTCCAAGGCTGAGGTCAGCGCGCAGGGGCTGAGGGGAATGATATTGGCGGGGAAAACACACGGAGGTTCCCTGAACGGTTTCGCTCTCCGCCCTCAGGATCCTCCGTCGCCAAGAAACGCACACCCGCACGTTTTAAGTAGGTCTGCCACTTCAATTATTCCCTGCTCTGCGTCAGAAGAGATATCCTCCCTCGCGACTCTTCTGGGGTATTGAATCCTTCGTAACCCTAAGAGGAAAGAATATCCCCCCATCGCCTCAGTAGAATTTTCTCCTTAATTTTGTTTTCCCTCCTCCCAGCACAGGAATTCTGAGGGGCAATGGTGACTGGGCAGGTGGAACTTCTCCATCACCTGCCTGGGAAAAGACCTGAGCCTCTGCCTTTGTCACCCGGCTGTTAAAAGCGGGCTGGGGCGAGATGGCATCCCTTAGGAAGGGAGGCAGCGGAGCCCCGAGGACGGAGCAGTCAGGGGAGCTCGAAAAAGACAGCAGCTGGCGCCACCTTCTTCCACCGAAATGGTGGCGTAGGGAGGGCAGAGGATAATCGTTAGGTGCGCCCCCCCCCCCACGAGCCCTCGACCCAGTGAAATACAAATCAATAGGCTGGGTTCTCCGACCCAGGTCAAGCGACGGCTCTCTGAGGTAAGGACGCCCTAGGGTGCTATGGTGAGGTACAGGCTCGCGTAACGTGTGAACGCAACTCAGCCGTGTGTTTTTTGTTCCCCTCCCTCTCCCCCTTGTCTTTCCCGCCTTCTCCCGTCAGGTGATGAAGCTGGGCAACCCGGAGATCGCTCGGCAGCTGCTTCGGCGGGGCGCCGACCCGGACCTGAAGGACCGCACCGGCTTCGCCGTCTTGCACGACGCGGCGCGCGCGGGCTTCCTGGACACGCTGCAGACTTTGCTGGAGTTCAATGCGAACGTGAACGTGGAGGACGCCGAGGGCAACCTGCCCTTGCACTTGGCCGCGCAGGAGGGCCACCTGCCCGTCGTGGCCTTCCTGCTGGAGCGCACGGCCAGCCGCGTGGGGCACCGCAACAGGAAGGGCGACACCGCCTACGACCTGGCTCAGCTCTACAGGAGGAGCGCCGTCGCCAAGCTGCTCGAGGGCCGCGCAGGAGGCAGCGGGCGGACGGAGGGCGCCGACGGCAGCGGGGACTGAAGCCCCTGGCCGCGCCTGGCTCGCTCGGACTCCGGCAGAAGGAGGGAGAGCCTCTGCCTTCCCTGCCCACCCTCCACCGCCCCTTCTCCCCCTGTCCCGTCTCTCCATCTTAACCAAACCACACCAGTAAATATTGTAGGTCTCTTTCCATTGCAGACGTGGGGGTGATTTTCTTTCTTTCTCTGGGAGAAGAAGAAATATCACGCCAGTAGCAGCAGCTTTTCTCAAAGGCGGGAGAATAAAACCAGCCTGACGGCCGGTGGCTTTCTCTCTCTCTCTCTTTCTGTCTCTCTCTCGCTCTGTGCCTCTGTCTCTCTTATTTTTTTTTTACTCGGTTTATTCCGTCCCTTAAAAAAACAAAAAACAACCCTCCCCTGCCAACACAACTTGCATAAGGACCCTCTTTATGTTAGCAGGTGACTTTCCTCTTTCTTCTTCTTTTAAAGATCTTTGAAAGTTTACTGTGATTTCTCCTCCCCTCCCCTGAATATCATCTTGCCTAACAAAAGTTAAAAGAATATGAAAAAAACACATGAAGGAGTGTGTGACATGATGTGAAAAGGGCTTCTTTGCCCAAAAGGGGGAAGAAAGAGGGAGGGGAATAAGAACTTCGGTTGTGTTTAGATACATCTAGATACTTAACTAGATGGTGACACTAACAAAAGCTTTTAATTTTGTATTTCTTGCGATTGTGGCTGCCATCCTAAACCATTTGCAGTGCAATCCTATATGTGTGTATTCAGAAGGAAGTCCCACTGAGTTCAATGGGGCCAAATCCTGGATTGCAGCCTTGATTTGAAGAAAGTGATGTTGAAATCATTGGGATTTACTTCAGAGTAAACGTGTTTAGGATTGAGGTTTAGTGGGTTAACAGAGTGTGTCTGTGCTGGGGCAGGGGAGGGAGAGAAGCAAAACGTGTCTGGGTGTTTGTTTTAATGTCGAAGGTTCAGAAATTCATCAGGAAAAAAGTATTTGCTTTTTATAGATTTGTTTATAAAGATCAGTTTTCCCCTCGCTGAATTTCACATGAATAAGGTTTTACCAATTTGCTTTTCACAAAATGATATTATGACCACAAACACAGCAGTTTCGAAAACTGACCTTGCAATATGGAGATTAATTCATAAGATTAACTTGTGTTTACTGCCTTTTGGGGAGTGCTCCAAGAACGAGTCTTGTTTGGTTGAACACCATTTACTCCAGATAGTTCCATTTGTTCTCACATAATGAAGCCAGAACAAGAATGTCTTGTTATGGGTTAAGATTTGAAAACCGAGGTCAAAGCCTGCTTTTAGAAAGTCAGTGAATCATCTTAAACGTCATTATATTGAATAAAAGCTGAAGGATTTAAAACATATTTTAAAAGCAAAAATGAGAAGGGGGGAAGTGATTTAAAATGGACAGTTTGAGTTCTGGTTTTTAAGCTTTCCAGTAGAAAAAAAGGAAGGGTGTTAAAAACATTTATTTTGCATAGGAATAAACTACAAAATCTATAAGAGTTTTATCACATATTTAAAATGCTCTCACTTCTGATACTGCTTTCTGATTAAAAGCCTCAATGTGTTGCGAAGTTTGGAGCATATCTGTTTTTATTTTCACCGTGTTCAGCAAATAACTTCTTTTTAAAAAAAAATCGGACATGTCGCAGGACGGGGTGTGTGGCCCTGTGAACGAAAGGACACATTGAAGGATGTGATTATCATAAACATGGGGGAATGTGGAAGTGTTTTAATTCAAGATTTTGGGTTGTTACTTCCAAGAGCGCAACATAGCCAGCTCGGTGTCGTTTCCCTGTCTGCGAAACTGTAATATTAGGCTTGAGAAATTGGTAAGATTTGCCCCCTTCCCCATTTTTAAAAAAAAAGAGTTTTAGAAGTGGCTCCGGACAGTTTTGTTCTCTGCTGAAATGAGTGTTTTATCTGAACTGCACGAGCTTATTCTGCACTGAACCGAGGTTTCAGAAGGGTCAGATTAAAAAACAGCGAGTTCCACCGCTAATAAAAACAGCGACCTTTACTGCAAGCCAGAATTTAACCCAATCATATCCTTTACTGAATGGTCTCTTTTTCTTGTGAAATCAAACTGTGGCCATTTAAAAGCAGACCAGAAGCCAAACGCTAACCCTGGATTTGCCATTTGATAAAGAATCTGATTTATTTATTTTTTAAAGGGGGGGTGTGAAGAGTTCTGGTCGGTTAAGCATGCAGTTGTACCAGCTTAATGAGCTTTAAAGGTTTTAGCTTTGGTTATCCAAAAAGCTAAACTATTAATATTCGAAGCTGGTGGTATATATAGTGACAGGCCTTTTAACAAGCGACAGGAGTTGGCTAATGGGTTCAAAAACAAAACACGGAGAGACACAAAATATAGTCAAATTTGTCATTGCTTTGCATTATTCGCGCAAAAGAAACGTTATGAACTCAGCGTGGTTTCAGAAATGAGTTTTACGGTTCCAGGGCTGTAAGGCCAGAAGAACAGGAACACTCATTTTCAAACAAGCAATAAAACCCCAAAGTTTCAGCATTATTTTTAGCCGACAAGAACTCTTGCCCTGGATATTGTCCGTCTAAAAGCAAAGAATGTGGATTTAGTCATGAGGACAGACCTAACCAACCTTTATAAAATATTGCATAAGCAATTGAAGATGTTAGGCTTTTAAAAAAGTGCTTTACAGCCCAGTTCTTCCCATGACTACTCAGAAGTAAGTCCCCATGAGTTTAGTGAGGCTTACATATAGACAAGTGTGCATAGGATTGCAGTCAAGCTACGAACCCAAGAGCACTGCTGAAGGGTGAGTGGCAACGATCCTCAATACCATGAACACTATTATTTTAAGAGCGCGTTTTGCCAAGTAAGCAAGCTGAAGCCATATTTCGCAAGCAAGCCTCCTTTCAATTGCACTCACTCCCCATTAGAGTATGCGCAGGATCGTGGCCCAAGAGGTGCTTATTTTAGCGTGCTGATCCTTGGAACCAAATATCCGACACACACACACACACACACAGAAATCGAATACGAATACATACAGTATGTCTTGGGGTTAATGTTTAATAAACAGTCTAATAATATAGATAGGGATGAAGAAAATGTCAATTGGCTGCGATGCGCTGGGCGGAGGGGTGTGTGCGTGCACGCACTATAGCGTGTGCCTGCTACAAGATAACTCCTGTAGTCTTGGAAAGTAACTAGCAAAAGTTTCCATTAAACTTACTTTCAAGAAAGCACCATCAGGAAAAGCGTTTACAAACAGGACCAATAGATTTCCGCAGAACTTCCTTCCATGGGAGAGCAAATGAGGTCAGAAAAGTCCTGTGGACTCCTATGGCTTAGCCTTAGGAAGGAAAGTGGCATTTATTTCGACAAGATTTCCTGCCAAGAAAGTGTGTTTAGGATTAGGGGAAGCTGACTTAGTGGGAGCAGGTTCAGCTGAAAGCAACGCCACTTGCTTCTAAATAAAAGGATGGAGGTGCAAGTCAAATCTGGAGCGATTAAGGCTGGGTGTGAGTGTGCGTGGGAGTCAATACATGGCATGCTCCGGTAAAACGGGCAGCGATCCAATGCACATTCAGCACACCTAGCAGCCCTCAGATCCCACGGGGTGTAAGCGCGCATAATAAAGCTGCCCGGGTGGCATATAAAGTTCATGTCCAGGTTCCTGACAGGCTTGGCAACGGCGCGCTGCTCGATCACAAAACTGAAAAGGTGCAGCTTCCCAAGCATTTGAACAAATCCACACCCCTCGCCCTTCCTGGGTGCTCTCCGCCCGCAAAGGAGACGTGCGTAATTTTAGCGGTTCCACCAGGCTGCTCCTCGTCCCAGGTATGGCGCAGGAATAACAGCCAACAGTTGCCCGCCTATGGCGCTCCTGAAACCTGCATCCCGCTTAATAAATCCGTTTGTTTGTTTTTTTGTAAGCGGGCGGGGGGCAGGATCCCACCCCGTCATGGCAGGCCGGCTTCTTTCCCCAAGAGCCGCTCTGGCCCAGAGGCAAGGCGCTCAAAATGTCGGTGTTCACATGGCCTACGCGCCCGCCGCCGCGCGCCTCCTTCCCTCCTCTCGCGCCTCCTGGAGCGAATCTGCCGGCGGCGGGCGGTGGTCGTGTGGCCGGTGGCGCGAGGGCAGAAGACGGGGCCCACCCGCGACCCGTGTCCAGAAGCCGAGCGGCCGAAGGGGAGGAGAAGAGGCAGCCTCTGGACCGTTACTTTCCCCCCGTCCCTCCCCTTGACGGTTTCTTTTCCCCTGCTCTTCCTGTCCAAACATTTTTAAATTTCCGCGCCTTCGCCGATTTTATTTATTGGGTTTCCTCCGCGGGCTTTGCCGGCCTTTCCTCCGCGGGCTTCGCCCTTCTGGTGTGTGCGGGACTTTCCCCTCCGCCCCTTGCCCGGCGTGAGCGAGCTGCAGCCCCTTCTTCGAGGCAGGAGAGACCCCCGAGGGAGAGAGGCCGCGCGCCTCGCCTCGCCTCTGGCCTGGCCCACCTGGCTGCGAGGAGCTCCCAGGTCGCCGCTGCAACCTGCTGCCACGCAGGATCGGGCGAGAGGTTGTTATTCCCCTCCCGCCCGCCCTCGCTCCGCGCCAAGCCAAGCCAAAGACGCCGGAAACTCTGGAGAAGAAACTCCATCCCTCCGCCGTTTTCCTTCAGTGAAGATGCCGTGGAGGAGGCGGTGTGCACTTCTGGGAAGCGGGAGTTGCTCCTCTTCCTCCTGGGAAAGCCAAAACCAACTATGAGAGATGCCAGGCAGCGGCGGCGGCGGCGGCAGCCTCTCCTTGCTCGAGGCGGGTTCATCCCGTGGAGAGAGAAAGGAAGCAGCGTTGTCTTCAGGTTTGCGGCAAGTGAGGTATTCTTCTGATTTTGGTTATTTTAAAGTTACTCTGGCTTTACAGATAATAATAATAATAAAAATAAATTTGACCCACAAACGTTAATATTGATTTGACATGTGAAATATGATGTCATCAAGTCATAATATTACATGCCTATAAAACAGCAGCCTTCCCTGGAAGTCAGGTTAACTTGCTTATGTCAAATTCTGCTCCCAGCATTAGTGCCAAGTTAATAAACAGCGGGGAACCCTCTCAGTTCAAATTCCAGATGAAATATGCTCGCTTGTCATTGTCACCATCCTGAGAAGACGATGCCCAAGTGATAAGAGCCAAATGGGGTGCTGAAAAGAATGGAGGGTGGTTAAAAATCTGTGGGATCTCATGCCAAGCCATTTTTAGAAAGCAACCACAAATAAGATTCCAAGGCTTTTGCACCTCTGAATTACCTGGATGTAGGCAACGTAGTTTTAGGTTTTGACTGTCAAATATCACTCTAAGCAAGCTTTCATTGTTGCATCACCTTTTAAAGTGAGAAACAGTGTTAAGAAGCAGGACATTATTAAACATGCACATTTCCATACCCCTTAATGGCTTTGGGACTTGAGCTTTCCCCCCCCCAAATCTAAAAAAAAACCAGATTAACATCAGAGGCTAGTGCCTATTCTTTTTAAGGCACCAACTGACATAATGTTACATCTGGGGGAAATATTCAAAGCATGAAGACTATAAACCCCTGGGAAGAGAGTGTACCTATTCTCTTCAGCCTGTCTTCTCAACGGCATTGCAACTGAGAAGTAAGCAGAAAGCTCAATTGATTAATTCAGTGCTCCTAGTTAAATTTCATTTTCATTGAAGAGTCAGTATTCTGGGGTTCCGATTTTTGCTACTTCTGAAATAACAGATTTAGGGGTTTATCCAGCACAGCGTCGGTGTTCTTTTCTTATTTACTATACTATAGTTCAATACAGGTATCAATCATTTATGTAACATAAGCCCTGGGGGAGATGCAGATGCAATCCAATCTTCAGAATTAAGTGTTTTATAACCATAAGGATTTTCAGCTAACGGATTCAAGGCATGGGAGGAGAAAGGTTGGTATTAAAGGTCAGTACTGGAGTGTGCTGACTTGCGTTAAGGAAATATTTAGTTTTACTGCAGTGCTGCAGCAGCTGACATTTGAAGAACTCTACAGTTGCCTTTAAGATGATAAGCTTCACAACCTTGCAGTGGAATTCTTTTCAGAGTTTAGACGACAATATAGTGTAACATGTAATTCAAATTTTCTTATCCCTTGTTTCTGAAACTCAGAGCAAAAACAGTTATATTCAAGTAACAGCCATTTTACTGGAGCTTTAAGTAGGAAACACCATTTCAGGCCTTGAATTTTAAGTTTCCTGTTCAGTTTCATACTAAATGAAATACATGGCATTTGGGCCCTATTTATGTCCTTGGCAAGGGCATTTTCTCCTACATGTGTGCTAGTACAAAGGTGATCCTGCATCCGTTTTGCATGGTGACATCTTATAGCCAGGATTATAATAGAGACTGCATCTTGGCAGTACTGTCTATTCAAATATCAGTTGTTATTTCTATTTTGGGTTGCTGCTGAACAAGGAATGCATGATGTTTGAAAAGTTTCCAGTGGTTAAGGGAGGAAAAGCAGAACTATTGGACTATTAATTAAAATTTCCTCAGTATCCCATACAGTCCATTCTTAAACAGGTCTTCCAATAAGAAAAAGAAAGTCGGTTAGCAAAAGCCCAATTTAATAATAATAAAAACAGTTTAATAGAATTTCCACTTGATGGGGTTCTCAGATCTACTTGTTCATAGCTGTCTCCTGGCAAACAAAGCTGCAAAAGGGAGTAAAGCACCCATTTGAGATGCAGATTCCTATCCTCTTTTAAGTGTAGTGTAGTGCATTTTGAAGCCTGCCTTTATCATTCGATAATATTGATTACAACATGAATTAAGGTAAACAGTATTTTTTAGGTGAAGGGGGGAGCTATGATATTTCTAATTTAGGTTATAGCTCTAAGCATGTTTGCTTTTAGAAGCAAGTTCCATTAAAATAAGTGGTACTTACCTCCTATTTGTGTATAGAATCGGGTATTAGAAAACAACAATGGTGTTTTGAGTACACTAGGTACTATCTTATTTACTTAAATATGTATCCCTTTGTGGCTAGAGACAAAGAGCAGTAGCTTTTACCATAGTATGTTCATAGGTCTTCCCTAGAGGGGGAATAGTGTTGTCATAAGATATAATATGCCCAGCCCATTTTGGAATATAGTTATATGTTCACAATTTGAATGAGAATTAAGTCACCTATAGCTCAGTTGCTAGAGCAAGAGAGTCTAAATTTCAGGGTCCTGGGTTCGAGATCCACGTTGGGCAAAAGATTCCTGCATTGTAGAGGGTTGGACTAGATGACCCTCATGGTATTTTCCATGCTACAACTCTGTGATTCAATAACTGATGCCATTCACAGGAGCAGATATAGTTCTGTACTACTATGTTAGTCTACGAGACAAAAAAATAATCTTAGGGCACCTTAAACACCAACGTTTATTGTACCATAAGCTTTCACGGACAAGAAATCACTTTATCAGATGAAGGCAGTATTACCCTCTTTGTATACCATGTGCACATAAATGGACCCTCACGGAGAGAGATACAGAGAAAAGAAAATGTAAACAGTCCTGTTCCATAGTTGTGCATGTATTGTTAATTATGTGATTTACAAGTCGCCAAATGTACACAAAGCAGTGCCCAGTGTATGTGGAAAAACACTCTGGAATAGTATTGCCAGTGGGTTTGGGGGGGGTAAGGAGAGGGTTAATAATAATAATAATAATAATAATAATAATAATAATTTATTATTTATACCCCAGCCATTTGGCTGGGTTTCCCCAGCCACTCTGGCAGCTTACAACAAAATATTAAAAATACAATAAAACATCAGACATTAAAAGCTTCCCTAAACAGGGTTAGAGTACAGGAGTGAGGAGAGCCACAGCAAGGTTCAATGGCCCCTTCTTGTATTTATTCATTATTAAATTACAAAAAGCAGTGCGTTTTAAATATCACATATTGTACCTTATAGTACAGTTGATAATAAACAGAACACAGCTGCTACCGAGAAACACATGTGGCCTGAAAAACATGGGGGCTGCTGGGGAACTTTCTGCCTTCCTCGTTGTCACCCCTGCCTGCACAAATGGGGCAGTGAACCTCATTCGGTACATTCTGGCACCCTCTAGAGCACCTGATAGACTATGATAAGCATCCCCATCTGTCCCTTGATTTAGAAGTCTGTTCTTGCATGTTTTTCCTCCTGTTTGGTTCTAGCTGCATACAATGCCATTTTGCAAACAAACATATCTGCATTTGGGTCAGGATAACACCCTATTGCTTAACGTTCATACATTATTTAGCTTTGGAATTTTCCTTCTCGCTCTCATGTCAAAGCAACAGCTAGCTGAGCAAAAGAGATCACTGTATTGCTTGATTAGAAAGGCAGCCCAGACTGTTTTTGGTCAAACCCCAAACCATGTGCTAATCTCTGTGACTGTCATTTGAGGCTCTCTTGCATGTGCTTCCAGTTTTTGAGATACTTTGCATGAGGACTGGGGAAAGGGCCTTTTCAGTTGCAGCACCATGCCTTTAGAAGGTTCAAGTTCTTGCCTAGGGCCTACTTTTTTGTCTTTATTGTGCTGGGCAAATATATTTTCATTCTCCCAGGCCTTTTAGACCTTTTAAGTCACAGTGAAAGTTTTTTGTTTTGTTTTTTACTAATTCTGTCCTATCAAGTTTTTATTTATATTGTTTTTACTGTTTCTTGCTCTTCATGATATTTTTATAGTTAAGCACCTTGTGTGCTGAAAGTCTGGGACAGAAATTTAATGCAGTAAAAGAGATAAGGAGAAAGGAATTATTATCATGTTAATATTATTAATTACATTCAGAGACTAATTTACTGTGTTTCAGATGATGTCTGTGAGAGAAAGGGAGTGATGCTTAAATCTTAGCATTTTAGTTTTACACCAAAAGTCTCCCCCGCCCATGCACAGATGTTAACTCCGAGGAGTGTTCACTTATTAAGAACTTGCCTTAAATGGTATTGTGGCCAATAGAACTTCCCCCTGATGCTCTTAACAGTCCTGTGTGGTGCAAAGCACTTCAAGTTACCTTTCTTGAAGTTAGAATACGTTCTTCCATTTTGGCAGGTTAAAAAGGATGCAGTTACAGGCGATGTAAGCCAGTAGTTGAGATGTGATTGTCTTCTGCCTTATAAATATTGTGCTTACTGCTTTCTTTTCATCATACCTTACTTACTTGCAAATCTGTAAATAAACCATTTTAAATATACTGTAAGATTTTTGCTCTGTCTCTTTTGAAGGAAACTGACTCTAGTAAGGCTGCCCAGTATGTCTCAGTGCTCAGGAAAGAGGAAGCAACATTATATTTTAAAATGAGTGCAGTCCCCCCACCATTCTGGTATATTATTCAGTTTACAGCTAAGGGAACACAATTGCCTCAGTAACTTATGCACATGCTCTCACACATATTTTCAGTTAACCTCTGTTTGGCAAACCTCCTGCTTAAAAATAATAATGATAAAGAAGCTGCTTATTTAGGCCCTTTCCAAATCTTGTCATTGTATAATTAGATTATTGGACTAGAGCACTGTTTTTCCTTTGACAGAAGTGGGATACAAAACCTGTGCAAAATTATTTAAAAGCCTTTTAGACCAGAAATCTCAAACTATACCATTATTTTGGGATTATGCCAGAAAAACTTAAAAGTTGCCAAAGTGCTGCTAATAGCCTCAGCTGTTAAGAGTCATCATTGAATTAATTTTTTTTTTTTTTAGCATTGGTGCTGACCTTTATTTTTTTTAATAAGTTTTTATTGTTAAAATAGTTCATCATTAATACACATATACAAGCATACAAACATACATTTCATACAATCCTTAAAAGTGTTCAAACATACTTACACTCAATCCCACAAATAATTCCTTTCCCCATCACCATCCACCACCCCTCACCCCACCTTTGTGTTTGACTTCCAATCTACTCAGTTTCTTTCCACTTCTATTACTTTCTTTCACACACCTTTAGCCTAATTTCATACTTCTTTTTATATTACACATTGTTATCCATCTTATTTGATATTTCAGTATCATCATTGAATTAAGTATTAGAATAAAGCAAAATATGTTGGTGGAATTGCCACTGAAGTTTAAGATCTTCAAAGGCTCCTTCCATGAAAAAATGTCTCTGCATAAATGGCAACTTAGCCAGTCTCACTATGATTTTTAGATTTGGCATTCTAGATTGACTTTTCGTTTGAAGCAGGCTATTTGTCACAGAGTTCCCAAGCTTCGCTCACGTTAAATCTTCACCGGCAAGAGAAAGTAAGTCTTTTATGGGTAACCATAAAATTGGCATTTCCTATTTTGACTCGCTTTTTGACCAGGCAACCTGAAATAACATTCTTTAATGTAATTTTTGGAAGACATGTTAAACTAAGGGTAAAACAAGGCTCTAAGGCACTGTCCCTATCCTTTTCAAGTTTTGGGCCTTTGGAATGCAGTATCTTTCCACTGCTGTCAAGTTGCTATATGACATAGCATGTGCATTGCTTGACAAAGTCTCCCACTTTTGATTCTGCCTACATTTTAATGCAGAGACCAGCAAGAATTTGGAAAGCATTTGTGCTTCAAGTAAACAGATTCTGGGAGGAGCTCAGGGTGTGCTGCTGCTGCTGCTGCTGCTGCTGCTGCTGCTCAGCCATGAAGAGGGTACAGACCTAGTCCCCTCTGCACCAGATCCCACCCTCTCCTCTCTCAAACCCCACCCTCTTTTGCAGAGGCAAGTGCTGACAATTGCACTCATCCTTCAGTCCTTGCTCTCCCTGGCAACATGCCTAGAAGTCTAGATCTTTGCAACAGAATGCGCAGTGGGGGAGGGTGAAAACTCTGAGCAACTCCTATTCTGATTACAAGCTTTTCCTACATGTGATTAGTCAGAAATAATAGCCTAAAGTGGTGGAACTAGAAATATACTGTTAATTTGAGAAGTATACCCTTTAAAAAAAACCTGGCAAAGCAGAGGGCTCTTAATTTACCCAGTACCTGCTACTAACTGCGATGAAGATGATGTCATTCTCAGAATGTGACAAAGGGCTAATAGTATATGCAGTAAAAACAATGAGTCAACAGTTTCTATGCCCTTGAGGTCAAACTTTCCACAGATTGAAAGTAGCCTATTCTTTTTTTACACACAGGATTTGCAGTTATTAGCTACTGCATAATAAAGAAATGTGCAATGTCAAGATAACAGAGGAACAAAACTTTTTTTGTTCAAAGTAGAAATCCCTGAAAGTGTTTACTGTAACAAAAAAAAGGAAAGAAGAAAACATTCAAACGTTTTAGAAAACTAATTCTTGAGCCTTTGCCTCTCAAAGCAGTGCTAAGAAATGCTGTGCATCGAAAAGCAATGATATACATATGCAGAGTTGCAATATGCAACCTCGATAATTCTGAGAACCCAACTTCCTGTAAGGTTGAGAGGAGAGGTTCACTGTTGCTGTTTAAATGGCTTCATCAGCTCCATCTCTATGTGGGAATCTTCATAAATATCAAACAGAGCTTTTGTTTTCAGCAATACAGGGTAAGAAGCTGCTCATTTCTGAAGATGTTTTTGATTATGGCCATCGGTTTTGGTTGCTTGAAAGACAGTTAAACCATGAGTCTTGTCCGTTATGTTTACTCAGAAGCAAGTCCCACTGGTTTCATTGGAGCTTACTTCCAGGCAAGACTGTGGCCTTGAATGTGAAAAATAACATCAAGTAATTGGATGAACCTCAATGCCTCATTAGCTTTTATTTGTAATAGACCTATGTACAGTGGTACCTCAGGTTAAGTACTTAATTTGTTCCGGAGGGCCGTACTTAACCTGAAACTGTTCTTAACCTGAAGCACCACTTTAGCTAATGGGGCCTCCTGCTTCTGCCGCACCACCGGATCATGGTTTCTGTTCTCATCCTGAAGCAAAGTTCTTAACCTGAGGTACTATTTCTGGGTTGGCGGAGTCTGCAACCTGAAGCGTCTGTAACCTGAAGCGTCTGTAACCCGAGGTACCACTGTATTGGTGAAATATTGTCTGTCTTTTGTATTAACTAAAAATTAACTAATTTGTTTAATGCCAATTGCACTCTAATTTTTCATACCACCATAACAGAAAATAGGGATGGTGGAGCAAGACTGTGGGGATGAGAGAAGTAGCAGGAGCCAACATTCTGTCAGTCTGGATTACTGATATCTGGTTAAGAAGAAAACGTATATAAACCGCATTTAGCATCTTGCCTATACAGACCTCTGGGTGTTTA